GATGACACCAAAATTCGAAGGCCCCTACATCGTGGCAGCCATCATCAAACCGGGAACTTACAAACTAAAACGCCCTAACGGGACCGAAGTCCCTAGGCACTGGAATGTACATCACTTAGTTAAATTTTATCAATAACATCAGAGCGGCCGAGCCCTCATAACTAGTGAATGTATTATTTTACGGCCCAAGGCCTAAGAATTCTGAAGAATGAATCCATTGTTGAAGACACCGGGAACACGGAGCAAGATTATCACAAGGGCCAAGCCCTCATATCACCCTCAGACCCAAGGCCTCACCACAATAGAAGAACTCCTGGCACCAAGTGCCGAGGGTAGACAATACTATCACCTACGACAAAGCACCATCTGTCCCCACAAGGAAACCCCTCGGCACCTGGTGCCGGGGGGACATGCCACTAGCAGCTTTCAACAAATTAGAAAAAACACCAAGTGTTTCCACATAAGACCCTTCGGTACCAAGTACCGAGGGTAGATAACACAATCCCCTTCAACAACTGGGGAGAAGCACCAAGTGTTTCCATAGAAGACCCCTCGGTACCAAGTACCGAGGGTAGACACCACAGTCCCCTACGACAAGTGAAGGAAAAAAACCAACTATTTTTACAGAAGACCCCTCGGTACCAAGTACCGGGGGCCGTAAATCGGAACAAACACCAAGTGTTGTTTCTAAGCCGTACCCCTCGAGGACGCCTATACCGAAGGCGCCACCTCTCGGTGCCGGCAGCACGTAGTGCACCTGGCCATTTGCAACCAGTGTGCAAATGAAAACCCTTCCCTGACAGGCATGAGAAGTGCCTAGGATTCGACTTTCAAAACGGAACGCTTTCCGCGTCATCACCCCAAGGGTATGACAGGCACGAGAAATTCCCAGGATTCGACTTCCAAACCGAAATGCTCCCCGCGCCACCACCCCAAGGGTGTGGCAGGCCACGGACTATGTCTAGCGCCGAGGGGACGACTTTCAAAACTGAGGCGCTTTTCGCGCCATCCCCCAAGGGGAGGCAGGCTCCAGACCACCATATCTTGTGCCCAGGAAACGACCCTCGATCCCCTCGGAACTCGGAAGGTTAACCCGAGGGGGGAGCTAATGGTGTATTCTGTTACCTCCCGATAGGCCAAGCCTTACCAAGAAACCAAGTTTCTTGATGCCTTCCCTTCACTACTCAAAAAAAAAGGGGGGGGGGGGGGGGGGGGTGGTGGTGAAGGGGAGTAGACTCGGAGAGAAATCAATGAGTTCATCACACCAACAATTCACAGAAACATACCGAGGGCTCTCCAAGGGAACGCCTCCGGTACCTGCAAGTACAAAGGACACCATTCACAACAGACATCATCAACAAATGGCTAAGTCCACTCAAGGATTGCCTCCGGCTATACCCAACAGCAATTCAAAGCGTCCCCGAAGGGTACTACATAACAAAACTATCAAATGGTGGCCAAATCAAATCAAGAATCCCCTCCGGCACCTCACTACAAGCCGAGGGGATATAACAAACAACCGAAGGCTTTTATTGCCACAAGCCAACATCACGAGGCAGAGGGAACTATCCTGAACCTACAACGCCTACAACCGAAGCCCCCCCCCCCCCCCCGAAGGCCAGCAGCAGGAAATACTTAAAAAAAATCTAAGTCCTAAATTCTTCGCCCCTTGTGGAGCTGCCAGTCAGCCGAAGGCATATCTGAGACAAGGCCCTCACAGTCACCCGAGGGCTCCTACTTCACACATGCTACACTTAGAAAAATTTTCTAAGTCCTACATATTTTGACCCTCTGTCAAATCTCCATGCTGCCCGAGGGCTCCTACTTCATACGTGCTACACTTAGAAAAAAATTTAAGTCCCAAAAGTTCTTACCCTCGGTGACAAGTTTCTAAGTCTCGGATCTCCCGGCAGCCCGAGGGGTCACACGATCGAAGGCTTGGTGAGACTACACTTAGAAATATTTTCTAAGTCCTAACTATTCTTGGTCCCTCGGTCATGCATCCAATCAGCGAGGGGTATCCACGTACCGAAGGCTACACAATATCCAAACACTTAGAGATTTTCTAAGTCCTAAGCACCTCACCTCCGGCTATCTCACGAAGGCTACATGGAACCAGAGGGGAGGAACCGGCCGGGGGCCAACAAATGAACAAACACTTAGAAATATTTCTAAGTCCTGAACATTGTGCCCTCGGTGAAAGGTTCAATTGACTCAATGTACTTAGTGACCGAGGGCTGCGAGAAGCACTACACTTGGAAGAATATATTATAAGTCCTAAACATACATTTAAAGAAGCGAAGACATACATTCAGGAAAGGCGAAAGCATACATTTAAAGAGAAACAATGAAAGGGAAACGTATTATGTACCAAAAGCCCGAAGGCAAGCATTCATTCATCAAAAAGGGGAAATTCAAATGTATATATTACAATGTGGCTGAGGCCGAAAGTACACAGATATCCATTACATACAAAGAAGACGTTCAAAACACTACTAAATACAGATCATATATTGTCAGCTCCGGGGGCAGCCTCTTCCGCGGGCTTTGAGATGACCTCCGTGTCAACCTCTGCTTCATCGCCTTCGGCCTCTTTCAGGAGTTCGGAATCCTCCAATTCTGGCCTCTCGACGCCCTCGAGAAGGGGGACTCTGATATCAGGCTAGAGGGGGGGGGGGGGGAGGCCATATGCCGTCGGATCGAAGGCCGTCGGCTCGATTTTCAAATGCCGTGCAAGCCTCCTATAGATCAAAGCCTGGGTGAAGAACTCCCCCCGGCATAGTAATCTTCACCCTTTCGGGCTAGCCACATCGCCCCGGGGCCCTTCACCCACCCGTCGGCAGATCTCTCCACGACCGAGGCCACCCAGTCTTTATGGCCTTCGACCTTCCATCCCTCGGTCATGAAGGCAGCGACTGCACCGGTGGCGGCCTCTGCTTTGGCGGCCTCGGCATCTTCAGATGCCTTCTTTGCAGCCTCGGCAGCAGCCTTCTCCACCTCCGCCTTTTCCTTGGCCGCCTTCTCTGCTTCCGCCCTCGCCTGCTGGAGGTCCCTCTCCAGCTGAGCCATCTGCCTCATGGCCTCGGCATTGTCGTGAATCAGCTTCTTGAAGGACTCCTCCTGTTGCGCCTTCTGAAGGCGCCACTCATCGAACCTCCTGGCGTGTTCGCCGAGGGCTATGCAGGCCTGTTGAAACAAACAACAAAGTAGGGGGTTAAGCCACTATGCTAAGAAAAGAGAAAGAAGAAGAAAAGAAGGAGAAGAACTTACGGTAAGGGAGGATCGGAGGATCTTTGACTCGAGGGCTTCATCATCGAGCTTCCCGAGGGCCCTCCTATCCAGAGCAGATGTAGCCCCGCCCAAAAATTCCCGGGGGTCTACTGTGCCATGCGTAATGGTTGCCCCCTTCGGCAGGGAGAACTGTATGTCCTCCCGGGGCAAGCTTGCCTCACCACCTTGACCCGAGGGCGGGCGAGGAGCAGTTGATGTCATTGGAGCATTGGGCTCGGAGGCGGAGTGCTCGTCCACCACCACCACCAGGGGAGCCTTCCTCCCGGCATCCCCTTTCTTCTGTTTCTTCCCCTCGGGGATTGGCGCCTTGCCGGCGGCTTTCCGCTTTGCGGCCTCCCCCGAGGGCTCACTGCCCTTCTTCAGCTCCCCGAGGGGCTTCTGCCTGGGGGGGTCCTTCTGGCCCGGGGCCTTGACCTTTTGTTTTTTAAGGTTGGCGAAGGCATTGAGGTCCATGTTGATACCTGAAAAAATAATAATAACGGTTAAAGTCGAAGGAGAAAAGAGACAACAAAAAGCATATCTCCATCTAAGTATACATAAGTCTAAAGGACCGGATGCTCTCGGCCACTACCTCCGTAGGCTCTCTCAAAGGCCGGGAACTTTTCATCTGTTTCCCCCAGGAAGCGATACCGCCGGAACCCGAGGGTGTAGAGGTCCTCCTCTTGGGTGCACTCCTTGATAGTTATGTTTTTGTCTCGGCCCTCCGGGGTCTTTGCCAGGATCCTGCCATCTTTCTCGAGGGCGGCGCTCCTCCTCTTCTCATGCCTCCTAAATCGGTCACGCAGTTCCCTCGGGAAAGGTCTCTCGGCCAGCTTCACGTAGCACCACCGGTCTTTCCACCCTTTGTTCGAGGAGGGCGCCTCAGTGAAAAGCTTGAACAGGGCCACTTGCTGCAAGTTTGCGAAGCCCTCGGCATTCGCATGCCCTCCCCCCCCCCCCCCCCCCCCCCCCGGCACAGGTTGAAGCTCTGGAAGAAGAGATCCAGGCTAGGTGTTACCCCCCGGGATTTGCAGAGCTGGAGGAAGCCCGTGATGTAGGAGTGGCTGTTCGGGGTCAGTTGGCAGGGGACCAAACCCACGAACCGGAGGTACTCCCGGAGGAAGGGGTGTAGGGGGAACCGGAGCCCCATCGACACGGAGGATGTGCACCGCAATGCAGCCCTCGGGAGTCCGGGAGAGGACTTCATCGGGACCCGGTGTCACCACGATGGCCGAGGGGCCCACGTGTAATTGAGTGACATAGAGATCCGCCGCATCAGCCTTCGACCTTATCTCTAAGGCGGCGGTAAAAGAGCAGTTATCTTCAAGAATTCATTTGAATGTCTTCCCGATTGAAGTTTTAGTTCAAATTTGATATGAGTAAACTAGACTTAATGCATAAGATTCTCAAAAAAATTAATCAAAAAATTCCACCGGGAACCACCCCAAATGGCGTCGGCCGGACAGAGCATCCTAAATATGGCCTTATTTGACATTTGTTTTCCAAGTTCGAGGCTCTATCTGACCCTTATCCCTATTTTTATCTATGAGTAATATCCATGTCACTGTAGGAGTAATATTAATATTGAAAGAATATTGATACGGAGTATTAATTAATTACGGAATTTTTACGAAAACCAATTTTAATTCGAAGTAATAAGAAAAAGAAATTAGGGTGATACAGCTTGAGGAAAGTACACGCGCCCGAGAAGGCTAGGGAGACAGCGAATGATGGAATTGATGGACTTTTGGACCTCTCCTGTCTCGGATCACCGCCTAAAACTGACTCAAGCAGTACACCACCAAAACCCTTTTCCTGAATTTAAAAATTTCTTATCTAGATCACAAAAAAGTTATTGAAAAATAAAAAAACAACCTATGTATAATACGGACTTTCAATTTCCAGACTTTCACTCACTTCCAGTGTACACTATATGACATTGCTCTGTTCGATTCCTTCAGATCTCTCTTTTTAGTTTTCCAGCTTGTAGAGAGGTACATTCTTTTCTTTCCCATTTACCACTATCTTTTATTACACTTTTCCTGCTTGATTAATACTTATGCAAGCTCGTCTTAACACCCTTTCTGTATTTTGGTTCTAACTCTTTAACAGCAGCCAAGATTGGTAAAGATTTAATATTTATGCTTAAGTGGGAGGGAGAGATTCATTATCTTTAAAGAAAATGGAGGATTGTATAGATTTTACGCAGTGGCTTGGACCAGACATGTCCATAAAGATTCTTTCTTGTTTGGAGGACCCGTCTGATCTTGTTCGTGCTAGCGCCGTCTCCACCTCCTGGCACCAATTAGGTGAGCTCACTCAAGTATTCAACCCCAAAAATCAGGGCAGCAAAGTGCAGAGCGAAGAGTTTCAGCTGACAAAAATATCCTCAAGTGATAGTTTTAGAGATATAATGTCAGACATTCTCTTCAGGATGATTTCGACATTCTCTAACTTTTCCCCAGTCTTGTAGCTGCTGTTAGTCTTAATACCCGTTTGGTAACATTGGTTGGTTTTTCGCTTAGTCTTGTTAGCCAAAAAATGACCTAACGCCAATTTTTTGCTTCACCTACTGAATTAAAAATTGATGGAAAAAGGTTAGGGTGGAGATCATTTTTGGGATGAATAGGCTGAAACCTACATTATAGAGGAAAAGTTGCTCATGCACCTATATTTTTTTCATTTTTCGGCCCATTTAGCCGGTGTGCTGTGACAATAGGTAGTGTTTGATAAAAAGCTGGCCAATAAGACATAAACCGAAAGTAAACCTTACCAAACGGGGCTTTGTGTGTGTGTGTGTGTGTTTTGATTGTTTAGGACTTGTAGCCTTTATTGAGTGATGGTAAATAAGTAATGCTTTTGCAGTGATCGAAAGTGGTTTGTGTAAACACCTATGCTTGAGGGTGTTTCCCGAAATAGCAGGCCTAACTGATGTCATCGAAAAAAAACACGCGAGTGACACCACAGAAGTTGAGCATGACAAAAAGGATGCCAAGTTGTCACGTCTGGAGAGAGATCATCAAGCTTATGCATTTCTCAGCAGAGGTCTAAGTTCTTTCATGATGAAAAATTGCATCACAGAAGCGGTTTGTGCATCAAGCACCGATAATTACCCAGAAGAAAGCATACAGAATACTTTACTCCCAAGTGATATGGTGGGTCACAGAGCTTCGTACTGGTCAAGCAAAGGAGAAAGTGATCCCACTGTTCCAGAGACTCTCACATATAAACTAGCTTCAAAGTTGTGTTTGATTACTGAGATTCATGTACAGCCATTTCAAGGTTCCACTCTAACTCGGGACTTCTTTTACTTGTTTAGTCCCAAATCCCTGTTTATTTGCCTTGTATGGCTCATAGCTATTTGTATGAGCTTTTTGAGCAGTAAAATAATACAATCTGCTGTTTTGACCAGCTGATTGCATTATCAAATAAGCTAATGAATTTTCGTTTCCTATAGGCTATAGCTAATACAAAAAGTTGTTTTGATGAGTTTATTATTGACATAGCATTCCAAGTAACCTACTCAGCCCCATTGTATAAGACACTTTCCTTTTGTTTGTCCCAAAAATATGAACACTTTCCTATTTTGTACTCCACTAACATTTTTTCTTTCCCGCTTAATCCTTTTATCTACTTCATACTTCTTATTATTTTATATTTTTACCTATTGGGGACTACTATTTTTTCTCCTATTTAGAAGTTTACATTTGTAAAATAGCAAATATCTTCTTTATTTTCTTAAACTTGTGCCAAACTCAAATGTGTTTAACTACTTGTGACAGAGGGGGGTATTATTGTTCCCTTATAGGACCACTTTTATCAGCTTGTTTTGCCTAACAGAGCCCAAGTGACCGATATTGTTAAAAGTGGTAATATAAACAGAAGTTCCTTAGCCTAATTGAATTTTAAAAGGCTAGGCTGATAAGCTTATTTAATAAACTCTGGATGTAAGACAAGTTCACAAGCCAACAAAACTTCTTTTAAAGCTTCAGTCAAAAAAACCATCACACATAACATATAATCTATAGCTTATGTGGTGCCATGTATAGGCAAAGTTGTTCGGAAGGAAAAGGCAGGGATTAAATATATTTTAAACCTGACAAGCTCTTCAACAATAACAACAACATATCCCCGTGCCGCAGAGGCTCCCACCTACGTGGGAAAGGGCCTGACAAGCTTTTCAAAAGAATTATTTACGAAATAGCAATTTACAACTTTTTTCGCATGTCTAACCTCTCATAGTGCCAAATAAGCAATATGATCTCCAAAAAGTTGTTTGTGGAATACGCCCATCATAAAACTAACTAGCTTGGAATTTTGTGCCAAACAGCCTATTTTCAGTTTGGTTTCCCCATATATTCAGCAAAGGTGGTGCGTTTCAGATTGGGGCATCGTCAGGTACCTATGGAATCAGACAGAAATAATATCACGGATGAGCAAGGAGCGGTTAAGGGACCTCTTGGCGAAAAGTTTGTGTGGACATACACCTCACCTGAATTCCCAATGGTTCAAGTAAGATTATATGCAATAGTTTTCAAAGTTGCTTCCTTTGTTTGGATTTCAAAGTTAATAAAGGACATTTGTAATGTTTCCCTGAGGGTGTGCTTGGATCACTAAAAATTCTAGGGAAGGGATAACAATGCTAAGTGTTTGGCTTAATCTTGGGTAGTATTAAAAAAGATGACTTTTTTCCTAGTAATTAAACATAAGTTTTCCCTAAAGTTTCTTTTCTTTCTGTGTTTTCTTCTCTATTTTCCTACCTATTTTTTATTTTTCCTAGTATTTCAAGGGTCCAAAACAGGCCCTTATCGTTCTAGTCAAAACAAAATCTTTATAATAACCATAAGAATACAATTGTTTTAATAGGAGAGGAAGCTGCAAAAGTTCAAGCTGCCAGAACCTGTTCTTTGCATTGGAGGAATTTTGCAATTACAACTCCTGGGCAGAGTGCAGAGACAAGAAGTGGATGGCTTATTTTATATATGGTAAGTACGAAGTACTTCTTTTGCGTTTAATGGGACACGGATCATGTTTGGCAAGGGTTTAACAGAAGCAGGTAATGTCTATTTCAGCCAAATAAGCAAAATCAAAACCTACTTATTCTGTTAACCCTGCACAATAAACTGATTATTGCTGCCAAACAGAACATTATTATTTGATAGTGTCATAGATGATATCTTCATATACTCGGCCTTGTGGCAGTGTGGCCCACGTTCGAGTTGTTGGGAGACCGCTCTCGCCTGCATTTGATGTTGAAATTCTTGATCAATCTGGAAAGTTCTGCTTGAAGTATTATCCAGAAGAAAAGAATCTGGCCAAGTCTGGTGATGAGCATTTGAGTGGCTCGTCTCGTTTTAATAGGCTTGCTGCAAGCATTAGAAGCTGGGAGCAAACAGTTCTGAACACGGTGCTTGGAGTGGGAGGAGTTGTTGGTATTGAAGAAGAAGATGATGACGACGACGAAGCTGCTACTTAGATGAATGTTTGTTGTGCGTGTTTGTATCATTTGCCATTTTCTTTTGTGCTTGAATTTGGCTGTCTTTTTTCTTTGAATCTTACCTGTTTTAAAAAATTATGAGTAAAGAAATAAGCCTTGTGATGGGATGGAAGTATACTTTACTCCTCAATACAATGTGTAATCACGATAGTAATAAGGTTGCGTGCTTTTCGATATTACAGAAATGGAGGAAAATGCAAAGTTCGGGATCTCCCTTATTTTAAAGTAACAGGACTTTTGATAAGACGAAATTGAAGAGTTTCATTTTAATAATTTTTTTAATCAACCATATAATGCAATGCAATGAGCATCACGTGTTAATTCAACTATGATAGTATGATGTTTGGTATGTCATTTTGTTTTATACCGTAATGTAACGAGGATTACATATATGGAATTCATTAGCTTTATATGTGTAATCAGCTTTACATTAGAATGTGTGTGTATTTGAGATTATTTTTGGCATCATGTACTGCGTCTCGATGGTTGGCCTTAGGGATGGATTCGGGCCGGGTCGGGCCCGGGCCGGGCCTAGGCCCGGTTGGGCCACCGGTTCAAGAATAGTGGGCCCGGGACCGGCCCGAGGGTTGGACGGGTCCGGTTCGGGCCGGGCCACCCGCCGGGCCGGGCCGGGCCACCCGCCGGGCCGGGCCGGGCCGGGCCGGGCCGGTTAAATATTTTTTTTTTAATTTATATTTTATACTTTATAGTTTTATACAAGTATTAAAAAACAAAGTTCAAGTGCATTTATTTCAAATGAAATAGGAACTACATTTGAAAATTAAATAGGAACTATAATTGTTTTTAATCGGAATCTCCGGCATAGGTAGAGTCACCCTCTGTTGTAGATTCATCCATAAAGTGTTGGGATGGAGTGATGTCAATTTCTTGAGCTCTACGTGCTGCTTTCAACCAATCGTGGTAGCATATAAGCATCTCAAGAGATTCAGCGCTCAACCTCGTTCTGGTTTGTGTTAGAACATTGCCGGCTGAACTAAATTCTTGTTCCACGGCAACCGTTGAAACCGGCATTGATAGCACTTGCTTAGCCATCTTTGCTAAAACCGGGAACATTCTTTCTTTTCCCTTCCACCAGTTTAGTACGTCAAAATCATCATCTTCTTCAAAATCAACATCATAAGTTTAATAATACAAAGAAATCTCATTAATTGTGCTTTGTTGTGTAGCGGGAGTTGATTTTGTTTTTTTAATAAGATTGGCAAACGTAGATTTGAAAATTGATTTTCCTTTAGATGATGTTTGTGTCGGGGGAGGGGGCGCATTGCCATATTGTGCATGAAACTCATTGAATAATGCATAAAATATATCACTAACCTCGTTGTATTCTTTTTTCGGATCAATTGGGTTGTCCTCATACATTGGCAATGGACCAAAAAAAGCAGCATAATAATAATTCAAACATTCTTCTAAAGAACCAAGTCTAAAACGAGGATCGAGAACAAATGCAATACCATAAATATGCGGAATATGTGAATAATATTTTAAAAACTTTTCCTTCATAAAACCAGCAAAATAACTCACATAATCAGCATTCTCAAAATTTGAAAAAGCACCGGCGAGATTAACAGCTTCACGAATAAATTGGTTTGAGGTAGGTTTATAAACATGACTAAAAGTTTCAGTTGCATTATTAAAATATATCAAAGCATTACAAATTTTTTCACAGGTGTCGATCTCAGCCGAGTTTATAATATAATTATCATATTGTTTCATAAAAGCAGGAAAATGTTGTTTATATCTAAGAAGAACTCCAATTAACTTATAGGTACTATTCCAACAAATAAACAAATCTTTTGGAAAAGCCACATATCTCTCACCTCTTTCTATCAAATAATCATGCCATTTTTTCCTAAGGTGTCCATTACCCCAAATACGTCTAATCCCCCCTTGACTACCTCCAACGATGCTCCCAACGCTTTTAGACCATCTTGCACACATAAATTTAGAACATGACATGCACATCGTTGATGAAAAAATCTACCCATCAAAGAAGTAGAACCACACAATTCACGCAATCTAGGAATAGCAGCAGTATTATTAGTAGCATTATCAAAACCAATAGCAAACACCTTATCAATTAAATTATACTCAATTAAAATACGTTCAATCAAAATATAAATATGTTCAGCGGTGTGACGATCATTAAATTCACGGAAAGCAAGAACACGTTTATGCATATGCCAATCATTATCAATATAATGTACAGTCAGACCCAAATAATGTAAATTATGATAAGTATCCTCCCATATGTCAGAACATACAGTAACACGTCCATCAAAGTTTGCAAAATAATTTTGTGACCTTACCTTTTCCGCACCATAAAGCCTTGAAATTTCTTTCTTAACCGTTTTGCGACTATAACCTCTATATTGCGGATTTAAACAAGTTTGTGCATAATCACGAAAAGCAAGACTTTCAGAAAACAAATAAGGCAAATTTTCTTCAACAAGTAAGTTAGCCATACCTGTCAAATTTTGTGCATCATTGTATGAGAAATTACCAAAAGCTTGTTGGTTATTTGCAAACCTCGATATTTGCGTTTGTTTCCCCGTTCCGCCGCCTAATTTTGCATACTTCACCGGGTGTTTGGACTTAAGGTGTCTTGTGGCGGATCCGTATCCGCCGGAAATCCCCAAGCTATAGTTTTTCTTGCACCAATTGCAAGTTGCGGTCCAATTCCCGGTGTTCGGGTCCTTCCACTTAGAAAAATTATTAGCCATTAATTCAGATTTACTTTTTTTTGTACCTGTTTGGGATGAGGCTGCTTGGTCGGCGTCATGGCTGCCGCCACCCTCCTCCTCCTCGTCGTCGTGGCTCTCCGGAATTGCTTCCTCCACATCGTCGTCCTCGTCCTCGAGCTCTTCTTCGTCAATGGTCCTCGGTTGGTCTTGAAAAAAGCGGGAATTATGTCGGTGCAATTCTTGTTCTAGTTGTTCGTCGGTCATCGCATCCCCATCCCTCCTTACGTAACCCGTATCAAAATCATCTTGACTTTGAGATGAAGAGCCGATATGTGATTTACCTTTGCGGGATCTCTTCCTCGCAAGCTCTTTCGTTCGGTTGCGCTCGAGGTTACCCATATCAACCGAATATCTAGGACGATCCATCTAAAAAATGTAGCGATTAATAAAAAATTGTAAAAAACTAATTAACTATTTATCTAACTATTAATTCGAGTTATAGCAAATTAAGTAGTGAATTAACTAGTTTTGTGTAAAACATATTTTTTAAACTAGAGTCAAATGTAGCAATTAATAAAAAATTGTAAAAAACTAATTAACTATTTATCTAACTATTAATTCGAGTTATAGCAAATTAAGTAGTGAATTAACTAGTTTTGTGTACAACATATTTTTTAAACTAGAGTCAAATGTAGCAATTAATAAAAAATTGTAAAAAACTAATTAACTATTTATCTAACTATTAAACAAGAGTCAAATGTAGCAAATTAACTAGTAATTAAACAAGTGTAAATAATAGAATAATTTCGTACCTCTTTCGGACTTTCGGTCTTTCGGATGGGAGTAATAGAATGACTTCAAATTAATTAGATATAATTCCAACTATATTAATAGATATAATAAATATATAAGTAATATATAATTAGATAACAAATATAAGTAATATAATACTATTTATATCTATTTATAGTTTATATAAGTAGATAATTAATATAAACTATAAATAATAAATATAATATATTGGAGAATGGAGAATAAGAGAATTAGAGAGTAGAGAGTTAAGAATAGGATTTAGGAAGAATTGGAGAAGAGATATGAAAAAATGTTTAAGATTAGGAGTATTTATAGGTTTTTTTACCCCCCACCCCCCACCACCACCACCCCCACCAGCCAACCCCCCCGGACCCCCCCTTTACCCCACCCAACGGCTATCTAGCCGTTTGGGTTGTCCCCAACCCCACCCCCAACGGCTAGTAGGAGTAGTAGCCCAAATCAAAAAAAATAAAAAAAAAATTAAAAATAGACCCGGGCACGGGCCCGACCCGGCCGGGCCGGGTCACAATAATCCAGAACCGAGCCCGCCCCGCCCCTTCCCATCGGTTCGGGTCCAAACCCGGTCCCGGACCGCCCGACCGGGCCGGTCCCGGGCCCGCACAGTACCGGGCCGGGCCGGGTCACGGGCCGGGTGGCCCGAACCGAATCCATCCCTAGTTGGCCTCCATCCTAGTGCACTCTATTCTTCGTTTGCTTCTTAAGCATAGTATCAGTTTATTTCTTATTCTATAATTGTTTTTACATACAGAGATTGTTTTCTTAAGCATATTATAAATTAGTAAAATGAATTTGTTTTCTTTATTTTGTTTATTATAATATCATTAGTTTATTTTATATTTCAATAAGCATCTCACTATGGTTATTATTTGTCAAACATAATTATGTAATATTGATTACATTGCATAGTTGTTATTACTTAAGTAATCAAACATAGTAATCGAATAGAGATTTCATTCCATTGCATTACATTTTGTATTGCATTACCCACTTCATTACTTCATACCAAACATAGCCTAAAATCTTAAGAGTTGAATGAAGTAAATTCAAATTTTCTCATTCTATTTCATAGTATCCACTCGGGTGAAATTTATTTAACATCGGCTTCCCTTTTTTACTTTAGGTAGATGAGCTTAGGCTTTTTCTAGTTTTTCAATAGACTTTAAGGTCCTATTTTTTCGGTTATCTTGTAAATAAATCACTCCATAAAAGTAGATTGCTTTTGCTTTCACTTGAAAACAGAAGTAACCCTTCCTCGAGTCAAACATGAATCCTATTTTTTCATTCCATTTGACTCTCCAGCTCAATCTTTCAAATCGAACTCAATAAAAATTACTTCATCCGTATTTTCAAATTTGCTACACTTTTCTTTTTGGATGTATTTAAAAGTTTGTTACACTTTTTTTGGTAAATTTTTCCTTTAAAAATACTCGATTACTCTTATCTTTTCTACTTTTCATCTCCCTTTCATACTTTCAACTTTCCTTCCTACTTTTTCTACACTATTCATTACACATACTATTTCATCCTTAAGTAGTGTGCTCAAACCTGTTGTATTGAACTTTTAAATAGAGAGGGAGTATGAGAGTATCATATGTTCTTTTGAGTTATCCTCTCTTCCTCCTTCTTTACCTTAGTTGATATTCCAAACAAATGAGGACTCTTGTAACGAAATAACCAAAAAGAATGTAGAGATGGGATTCTCCATATATGAAATGTAAAGCATAAAACATTTACACAATTTATATTAATTGAAGTTACTATTAACCGGAGTTACTATTATGTATTAACCGTCTTCCTCAAGCGATTTTAACGGTGTGATCCTCTTGTAATAACGGAATTTAAACACATGAATCACTTTGACAAAAAATGAAGCACGACCCTAATCTGAAAACGGGTGCAACCACAAATACATTTTCTATACTTTTCCCTATATACTACGTATTACTCCCTATTTTTTAGTGCCAATATATATACATACATACTTCTATATGTTGTATTCCATGGCACCATTAATCCAAATTCCAAAAAAATACAATTGTACGTGTAAAGATGCATATTGATGTATAAATTCTTGCAAAATTCTCAATAGCCTCCTTTCCTTGAAACTCTTGAGAATTAGATGATGATTGACTACAGTTTATAGATCGTTTTTTTTATTTTATCTGAAATTTTGAGTTAGTAAATGGTTTGTGACAAAAATAAATGCATATTGATATGGACCAAAACAAAAACATATTTAATCTGTATAAATTCTTGCAAAATTCTCTATGACCTCCTTTCCTTAATCTCCTTTACTTGCATTGAGTTACTAAATGGACGCCAATGCAAAAATAAAGATCATATTTAAAATTTAATCTGAAATTACAAACTGAAATATGCTCTGAGGGCACAATCCAAATTCCAAATCATGTGTGGTCTGACAGATGATTCAAAGAAACAATAACGAACGAAGAAGATTTTATCAAATATGATAGAAGAGCCGGTGAGGAATAAGGAGAGAAGATAAATAAGTAACCGATGACCGAACTTACCCTCCCAAACCCCATATGCATTGGCTTTGTCGAAACAGTACTAATTAAGCCATATTTTAAATTTGGTCGGCCCAGGAACGAAAAACACAACAAAAAAAACAATAAAAAAGAATAGCTACAGTGTTCCCATCCAAAATCTAGTAAAATAATGCTGTCATACATGGATATTTATCACCACTTTCTTCTCGTGAAACACGAAAATCCTTCTTTTCTCTCCAATTTGACAAATCACGTTTTCATAAAAATTTCTGGGTCTAGAAGCCTAGAGATTCCACTCCTTAACTATGGACATCTTATGCCCAAACCATTACATTTCTCGAATATTTTTGTTCCACTAGCTGAATTCTGGGAAATAGGATGCATGGGATTTTTTAGTATCACAATTGACAATTCACAATTCACCAGTAGACCATGAGATGGTAAGACCGTTATGGTAAAACCCCGAACAATATCTGTTAAAGACCAAATTAAAACATGTTTGATGAGTCATGTCTCCATTGATTACACTTGCAAGAGAAAAATTCAATAATGAAGATTAAAAAACGCACACCTAGCAGAGTACAACAGCTACTCTCAACAATAGCACCGCGGGCTAAAAATAGGAAGGAAAGGATTAGGGGAGTGTAAATTAAAACAACCTGTACAAATATGTATGGCAAAAGTACTCATCTAACAAAGAGCGCCATGTGTTAGTCCGTGGGTCATCCTTTCCAGCCATAGTTCATATTACTGTCAACGAGATCGCCATTGAAAAACCCACTGTCCGTGAAATCAGATGAAATGTCCGGCAACATCTCATCTGACATATGGAGGTTGTGTCCCAGACTCTGACCGTACCCGTTATTGACGGCCACACTACTACCCCCACCAACCGAAGACTCACTGTTAGAAGCTGCTGCCGCCACTTTGAAGCCATTGTGCCTGACCATGGATGCAGGTCCCACCACATTCCCGTGCCCCGTTCCCACCCCTCCATTGCTGTTGTTGATGTCTTGGAGTAGCTGCTGGAGGATCTGCTGTTGTACAACCTGGTTCGCATGCTGCTGCTGGTTCATTAAACGCTGCTGCTGCTGAGGTTGTTGTTGAACATTGGAGGAATTCAAGAAGACACCGTTTGGTCCTTGAAATGAGGAGGGTTGCGTTTGGTTGTGGGGAGAAGACGGTTCCTGTTTGACAGGATTGGTGGGGTTGGAATTCATCGAGTTCTGGCGCAACAACATATTCTGGTAGTTATTATTAACAGCTTGCGCTGAGCTGCCACCACTCAAAGCTCCTCCACGGTTACTCATTTGTTTGTTGTTGCTTCCCAATTGACCATTATGCCCTACAGATTGCATTTCCATTGGCTGCTTATTACGATCAGCAGATCCCTGAATACTGCCCCCGCCCATCTGCTCCACCTCCTGTGACTTCTGCATTTGAAGCTTGGATGCGGCTGCATGTCGAGGGAAATTCTTCAAGCCCTCTGCAATGTAGGGGAACAGAAATAAAATTTACATCCCCTAGGGAATTACGGATCTGTTTGGAAAGTTTCAGTATCAAGGGAGAAACCAAGAACATAGGCTCTAACAATCAATAAATATGTTTTAGATACTTGTTGAATTTCACTTTATGTATTTGCTTCTCATTTATTTCCTCATATTTCCATCATTTTTAATGTAGCCAAAGGCTCACTATTTTTGACGTGAGAATATGATGGAATAAAGCAAAATGGCTCACTAAACTATCTGCGCTTTTTTGTTATGAAGCAGTAGTTAGTCAAAACAATTTAACTCAATTTTCATCATGGGTCATCCAGAAACAGTCTCTTTGTGCTCTAGTAGAGGATTACGGCTGCGTCCATCTGACCCCTTTTACCCCACCGTTGGTGGGAACCTTTGCGTCACTAGGGTAATGTTGTTTATTTGTTCATGTCTAATTGCAATATTGCGTCACTAGTAAAACAAAAATATTCATAAAAATTTTAGAAAATGATAATAATAACCTATCCACTTCCACTTCCAATTACAGTCTATTTGTGGCATTTTTTCCCAGCCTTTGCAGGAGTCAACATACCCTTAAAGAAAATTAAAAAAAAAACATTACCCAGAGGTCCTGCTTTCTGATCTCTGCAGAAGTCCATCAAGTCTTTCATGCTATTTACAACTTCAGCTATCTGAAGAATAGATATCAGATTGTCAGAAGCACAACATAAATCACAAACACCGAAACTGGTAGGCCGCCAGATTTACCAGAATATTGGCATTAGTAAAATGGTGCATACCTGTAAGCATCTTACATATCTTTTCGAAAATCCCAAATCATTTAATGATTGCAACTCCAAACTCCTTGCAAGTTGGCGTCCAGCCGTGACAACCCTTGATTAAAATAAAAAGCCACCAGTGTCAGTTAGAGGGTCGATTTCAAAACCTTAAGTAATACTTCGAGCCTGCTTCATAAGGCCTAAAATGACCATAGCTGCTAAAATCATGGAAAAGTAGATGATTACTCTAAGTGTGTACTTCAAATAAACTTTTACATATATTGAAAAAAGGGATAGGAAGGGGAGCCATGGCGCACCGATTACGGTGTTGCTGCGATGGCCAAGAGTCACGGGTTCAAGTCTAGGGAGCGGCCTCTAATCAAAATTACAAGGGACCCTTCCACAGACCCTCGTCTTGCGGGAACCAATGTGCACTGGGCTGCTCCCTTTTTACAGATAGAAGGCTTGGGTGTTGTTGTATGTATTGAAAAAAAAGAATATCTAAAATGAAGCATAAAGCTTCATAGTCATTAATTTCAGCCATTTTGGCAAAAAATGGCTGAAATTAGTGAAACTATTCAATATTTTCAGCAGAGTAGTGATAAGTTAGCAATTAGTGAATCACCTAGCAGTAAGGCTGATAAGACGGAAAAAGCCTACCAAACAGGCACTTAGGTGTTAAAGTGATAAACACACTACACCGAAAATTAAGCTACGACTCACAAATTGCTGTTTGCTTGTAAATCCTGCTGAGAAACCCCTTCAGGCCCACTTTCTGATATAGTGCTCTGGCATTTTTGTGCAACCTGAAGCAATTGGTTGACCTGCCATGCCAATGTGCCATCAAGAGATCAATTTTGTAATGGGGAAATAATGTTCCAATTTCAGGTTAATAGGAATGGTTAGCCAAGTGCCTCGTAACTCCAATAAGTCAATAACATCAAACTAAGCCAAAACAATTTACAACCCATATGAAACACCAGAGTGACGAACCAGAAGTTGTTAGTATGTAAACCTTAATCAGCCAATTTCATTAACCCCCACCCACTCCCCGTCCAATTTATTAGCACCTGTTTTAAGGGATCAATGGTCCTTACAAGACATTATTATTTTGCATGATGCATTTATTATTTACTCCTCATGATTTGACCCAAAAGTAGTCATGCGTTTGCATTTGTTTATACAAAGTTTCATTGTAAAGCAATAAAAGTTTTACGGAGTATTTTTTTATGACAGGGCATGATAAAGTAATACCATGTTGGAATATCATACAACTTGTAATAACCCAAGACACGTTAACTGCTTTTCTTGGTTTAATAAAAAGGGCATTTGTGCCTCGCGATAAGGTCGATCTCCTTCGATTTAAAGCAACCTGAAGTCCATTATTTGAATTTAAAAAAGTACGAAACCAAAGTCCATTATCTGAATTAAAAATAATAAGAACAAAAGTAGCTACTATTATAGACTTTAACTCAGAAATATGTACCTGTGGTGCAACCAATCTCCTAGGTAAAAGTTCTTCATGACGTCGTGCACAGAACTCCCATGAGAGTATCTTTTATAGCAAAACCAGTTAATGTATAAATTAGTACATCATTTGGCTTGGGAATATGATGACATAAAGCAAAATGGCTCACTAAAATGTCTGCGCTTCTTTGCTATGAAGCAGCGGTTAGTCCATGCAATTTTCAACGGGAATTACATTATGGGTCATCCACAAACAGTCTATTTGTGAAACCTTACAGGGGGGTAAGACTGCGTACATCCGACCCCCCCTTACCCCACCATTGGTGGGAGCCTTTTTGGCATTGGGGTAGTGAATGATGACATTATTACTCAAAGATCAATAAGAACGAAAATTGATCTCTATTGTTTTTACCTTCAAGTCGGGAGTAAAAATTATGCGAAGCTGACCCTCTCGAACAACACGAAGTTGGTCATAAACACTCTCCTGAACTGCCTTGGCATATTCTATCATCATTATCCCAGATGGAAATCGACATTCCCGAGGCATATCCAGGAACAAGAGCTCATCGACAACACCACTGCTGAACTTTATTTCATTGAGCCTAGGAAGTACTTCAAAGGTTGCCTCTGATCACACCACAAAAGAATGAAACAAATGTCACATCAAGTCAATATTGAAACATGTACAACAAGCCAAAGTATAAAAAATCATACATGTCATGCCAATAAATAGAACATATACATCCATATCAATATCCGAATATCTGCATAAAAGTTTCATAGAGATACTAATGATAATATGGCACACGAAATTGTGTTTAGAATTCTATTCTTTAAAAAAACGGTGGGTCTAACAAACAACTACTATTAACCCGATTATAGTTAAGTTACTTTGGTTGCTATACCTTGTTCCAATAAAACTAAAAGGGCTGATTTGATCATATATAAAGTTACGATGTTGCAAAGTTGCAAAATATAAAAATTACTAAACCAAAAACAATTTCAATGAGTAATCATGAAAAATAGAAAACCAATCATACTGATGCACTTATGCTACACCATTTCATTTGTTTTACAATTCTTTCCCATTATTAAAAAACATATACTTCCAAGATGAAAATCGTTACCCCAATGATTTTGCGGGTCTATTTCTGGTTAAACAAGTTGGGAACCTATTCTAAATAATTAGTAATTGTCACTCTAAATCCTTATAATGCAATAAGAACTTATCCTTCACACCATATCTGTAAATAATACTAATAAAATAAGCAACAAATAAAAAGCTAAATGTGATTTTAATCAATGGCTTATATAAATGTATTTCTAAAATCACTACTATAAGTATGACTTGGGCATTTAAAAATTATAGCATTAAAAATACGTAATCATAAACCAATCAATAACTCAATTAGCTGTACACTTGTACTAATGGAAAATGATCATTGGTCATACAATAGGTAGTGGTCCTAAGATATACACAAATCAATGGAGAAACAACGCTGACCTCAGTTAGAGGATCCAAATAGAACAAATATACAAAAGGTTAAAATAAGGTGAGATGGGTAATAAAGCCCAGTCTAATAAATCCACTCAAAAACCAAGGCAATCTAATAATACTTGTTCATATCAAGATAGCTTTAATGTGTTGTGAAGGAGCCATGAAGAAAAATAAGTATGGGACGAAACTGTACAGATCTAGCATAGAAAACTCAAAAATCATTTCTTTTTATAAAATATAATAAGTAAAAGCTTTTTCTTTGTGTCCCGTGATATGCATGTCGATTTATAAAAACAATTGCGTGACGATAGCAATATCTCAATACATCCATATCTCGTCATATTCTTCATACAAGCCAAGAAAACCTTTGATGATGATGATGATGATGATTTTGAAACTCCGCCTCACTATCCCCATTCATAGGAAGCTCCGAGTTGTGACACGAAAACATCCCGACATAAAACAATGTCACTAAGTTTGTATAAAACTGTAATGTTAACTAAGTTTGCACATATAGTTGACCGTAAATAGTTCATACCACCACCCCGACATAGAAAGGATAGCTAACAAGAGCTAATATCAACTATGAAAGGTTAGTTATTTCACAAGTTATATGCCAAATTATCCAAACTCAGAACTAAAAGGCTAATTGTGTATGTTATTTATGTAGCTAAAATTGCTGTAAAATATGCAGTACTAGATTAAATAAAGGAGAGACTGTGCAAAAATAAAAACACAAACCAAAGATACATATGGTAAAAGTCTCTTCACTAACTCACCAAATCCTCTTCCAGATTTAGAATTACAAATGTCGCACTGCCATGCATCCTGAGAAGAAAAATGAATAGCAACCAATAAACAACCACCCAAAAGCACTGTGAAATAGTAGCAGCTTAAGAAAGTGATGAATGTTTAGGGAAGTACCATAGCCGCCTGTGGAAATACCCCCAACGATTGATGACCAACATTATCATATAATGACAAGCACCACCTTTTCTTTGCACGTGGAGAGTAATATTCAGTTACAAACTTTCTCCAATAAGCAATGGAATTTTCCTGAAGAAAAAAATAATAACTTGAAGAAGTATATAAACAGTGGGGAAGCAGTGTGATCCAATATGCTTCCAGTATATATTTACAAATTTATTTAGTACACCAGTTGGTGGATCCAGAAGGATGTATGTTTACTGGCATTGGCACATGGCATGTAACAATGTAGACCAGTATGTAGGTCTAGTAGTACACTAGCACATATGCAATGCTTGTAGAAATGATGAGAGTGCACTCATTTCAGTTGCTATTGACGTAGGACGTAGCTGGATCATTTAATCAAGGTTGTTTAAGATTGTGCTACGACTCGTAAAGATCGTTAGATCTTACGAGTAGGAGGTCTAGAGGCAATTTGGATTGTAGCTTTGATTTGAAAAACCCCTAGAATCGCCAATCAGCAGGATGGATTGTAAGAAAGCAAGATCGAAGTGTTGCTTAGATTCTGCGGATGGGTAATGAAGGTAGCGAAAAAATATGGTGCACAGGGTTTGGTACACGACGAAAAAATAGTAATGAAAAACCTCAGCAGTTAGAAAATGTCACATGCGTAGCTGCAAAAGAAACTCCAGACGAAAAAAAACTTAAAAGGATACAAAAGTTTGAATTTTGTATCACAAATCTCTATAAAAGGCTGTGTCATCGTCTGTGCTTTACTCCATCTCCTCTCTACTTTACTTCGTCTTCAAGTTCTCCACTTTCTCTCCTGTACTCCATCTCCGTAGCTCTAGATCTCTCAGCTTTAATATAACTTCAAGAGATTGTTTGAGAGAGGCTTTTTTCTCTCTGTTTTACATGATCTTATAGTTCATCCCCTATCTCTCTCAGACTGTATCTCTGACATTGTGTTTTACTTTATGGTCTTCGAGTCTTGATAATTTGTTGCTATGTTACTATTCAATTATTATGATTATGGATGAATTGATAGAGTATTCAAGTATTAATAGTATACAATTATAAGTATTGCATGGTAACTTTTACTCTAGGATCTTACGATCGGAATTACAATCCCCAACTTACGATCTCCGAGGCCTCTTCCGATCTGTGATAGGATCTCAAGTTTGACAACCTTGCATTAACTCATTTGGTATTTTTGGAATATTGTTCTGAAATATATTGTTAGCATTTTATGAGCTTAGCATTATTGCAGTGTGAATGAAATTTTTTGTGTTTGTACAGTTTGTATTTTGGGTAACGTATGAAATTAAAATCGTAAATTCATAATTAAAGTTGTATTACCATCCAAAATCAATATTCAAATTATAAAAGTTATTTACTTCCCTTTCATTAATATAAAAAACAAGAAGTGGTCTGTCTTAAGAAAGGGAAATAGAATTAATATTTCCTCTTAGTTACGTCATGAAAAAAATCTGAAACGTAGTGTAAAAAGGTTCCAAGTTTGACGTATGTAGTTTTTAATGAATTGAATGCTTTGCGTTTGATTTCCAAGAACACTCTAGCAGTAATTAGTGGGATTAAAACTTTACTATTGCAGACTATGGAAGAGGACTTGACATGGGAGTTAGGGTCCTTTCGGAACCCTGAAAATGCAATAACAAAACAATATGTGTGAGGGGGATTAGAAGGAAAGAAATTTAAGGGGGCATACATTTATACATTCGAACCCAACATCGTATTTTTTATATTTGTTCAAAGTTCAGACTCCAAAGAATTTAAATATCTATAGAATACAAATGTAAAGAAGTCTATATTTTAAAGCAAAAATATCAAGTGACGAAAATGTTCTATATATATTTATATGTATTATACAGAAAAACTAGAAAAACATAATTGTAATTCACTTTCCATAATATTATAAAAGACCAAACATTAATAAAAATCCTTAACGGTCTCTTTTCTTTACCTAGTATCCCAACACGCCTTCAAGGACCGACACAAATAGAAAATAAGAAACTCAAATGAGGCGGAGGGTACTTACGGGAGGTCTTTGGCGCTGATGATACAAATATTTCATCAAACGCCGAGAGCAAACCCCAGTGTCGTATGGCCGTTTCACAGCAGCAGACGAAGCTGTCTGCATTCCCTGTTGAAGTTGTTGTCTCAAATGCAGTTGGTGTTGTTGCTGTTGCTGCAACAGCTGGTTCCGCTGCGCAGCAGGCATAGACTGTAATATCTGTTGCTGCTGTTGCCTAATCCTCTGTTGTTGAATCAAAGCCTGCAACTGCGGGTTGGGGTTCTGAAGGTGCAAATGATCCTGTCTTTGTTGCAGTAGTTGCTGCAGCACTTGCTGTTGGAGAATGTCTTCTTGTTTCATCTCCATCCGTGGTCTCTTTTGAAGCTGAGATATTGTAGGGTCCTGAATGAACGATCCGTTACCTCTCAGGCCTGTCCCATTTGGAAGTTGCACCTGACCCATCCTTGAAGTGGGCAATGATGATGTGGCACTTGATCCTCCTCGGTGATTTTGTTGCTGAGAGTTTGTTAGATCTTGATTTGATCCGTCAATGACAGATGACCCAGAAATGCTAATGTTGTTATTGGATGTGAATGACATTGGTGATGCAGGCATACGCATGTAAGAATCACTTCTCTGGATACTGGGACCCACTGAAAGTGCTGAGTTGGCATCTGTGACTAAAGAACTTGCCCCGACACTCGGACCAGAGCTCGCCACACTGTTCAAAACAGCGTCTCCGGAGAGAGGACCAAGGTTTGACCGGGCTGCTGCACTTCCGTGCATTAAATTTGATGAATTTGTGAAGGGTGAGGATAAGTGGTGGGGATTCCCAAGTCCATGGGACTGTCCAACGTCTGCTTGGTAAAAGATACCCGAAGACGAAGGCGACTGTGCCATCCGAGGATGCACCATGGCTGGGGCATTCCCTTGATGACCTTGATGATCCAAATAGCTCTCCAGCGCCAGGCCTTCAAAGTGTATGTTTTTCTATAGGTAAAAAAATTGTCAGCTATCATCCAGAAACCCTAGAAGGATCAAAACTCATAAGATGACATGACCAACTAAAAACCCCAGGAAATAAAATTCACTTTTTTAATGTGCAAAAAAAAATAATAGAAACGAAATGATTAAGGGCGAAGATCTCCAAAATTAAAGACAAATAAATAAATACACATAAAAGCATAACATTGGCTCAAGAACACTTCAAATCGACCTCTAAAACCTTATCACGTATGAAAAAGTAAACGCCCCTCGTTTCCCAGTAAAAGCCCTAAATTTGTCCTTGACAAAAATGAAACCTCGAACTTGAGTGTTTTATTCCAAATCCTCGCCAATGAAAGCCTCTATACCGATATTAAATAAAATAAAAACGCAAAATTATTCTAGAAAGCTATCTCGAATCTAAGAACATACATATCTTTAATCGCAGGCATCCCCAAAGACGCCAAAATTGGGATCAAAGGAGTGCAAATACAATAAAAAGGTACGGAATTTATACATGTTATAAAGTGAGCTCTTTGAGGGGGTGAAATTCCTACAAGCTTATCTCTGAACTCTGGGATGAATCGAAAAAACAAAATTGCACAATATGCGCATAAATGTTCATAGAGGGAGAAAACACAACTTTACAGTTCAATATTGACCAGAATCCATGAATTCTCAAAAGGAAAGTACTGTGCCAATAAACTAGAAATAAAGAAGGTACTGTGCAGAAAAAGAAGAAGTAGGCGGAGAAGAAGACGAAGCGCTACAAACCTCGGGAAAATCAAATAAGAGAGCAAAAGAGAAGTGAATATAGAGAGGAGCAATAATCGGAGAAACGCTGGAAGATCCCGATCGCCGATCTTTATAGCTACCGGGAATTGGAGCGGAGTGACCGGCTGCGGGCGGGTCTAACCCTACAAGACGGGTGATGACCGGTTAATATACGGACACGTTTCGTCTACGCAGTAGGGCTACGTAGACGGCGGTATATTGCTGGGGTGGCGACCCGATGTCGTCGGGTCTACTGACTGGGTACGTGGCAGTTAGTGATTGGATTGTTTTGTGATAGAGAGAGAAGCGAGGAAGGTCGGTCTCTTTGGGGAAGTAAGATCTACGGCTGTGATGGGCTTGCGGCAAGGAATGAGACTTTGATCTGCCTTCCTCGCCGTTGGATGATCGGGTGGAATAACACGTAGCCGCTCTTTTTTTATACGGGTACGGAGCGTATACTATAAGCTGCGTACGGCGTAGGTTGTTTGTTATTTGAAGGTGTGAATGAATGATTTCTTTACGAACAAATATTTTTGTCATCATTTTAACCGCTGTTTTAGATGGTCAATTTAGTCCGGTTTGGCCTTCTACTCCATCCCCAATCATTACATATCTTTGCAATATACTACGTACTATTCATTCGATTTTGCCACCTTGAGGTTAGGGTGGACCCGATCCGGAATGGTCCGGTAAATTGGTAAAACCCGTAATGTATCCGTGAGGTTTTTAACGGTCCGGTACGGTCCAATTCAAAGGATAGAACCGTTCGGTACCATGTTGTTTCGGAACGGTACAAAACGGTACGGTACAATGTCAAACACATGTTAAAATTTTTGAATAAGTCTTGCGATCAGTATATATCATAATACCAACCAACTCACATGAAATGTTGAAATAAATACAAAAAATTGCATACGTAGTACTAAAATTCAAAAATACACAAATAGTGCAAAACAACTAAGAAAAAGTATAGCAAAACGATCACGCACGAGATAAATATCATTTTTAATTTACTAAGTTCATGTGAAAATATAAAAACGAATAACATCAAATTGTTGAATGTAATAGAAATCTTCAACGTTCTTCTTCTTTGTTCTAGGTTAAATATTACTCCGTAGTTCTAATTTAATTTATAGTTGAATCTTGAGAGCTAAGATTTAAACCATATTAATTAAGTTGTAAAAATTGCACAAACATGATACAACAAAAAGTCATGTAGTACACTACATTACTAGAATTGAATAGTCATTGATGATTTCTAAAATTTTAATATTCTTTCAATACATACCAAAATATAACATATATTATCTAAAAAGAAAAAATAACAATATATATAAACACACACATTTAGATATCTTATGTGACACCGTCCCCAAACATGTTTACTTTTAGTAAATTATGTAGTAAATCTTGAAGGATGATTTATGAAATTACGTAATTGTTAAATTTTATTATTTCTTTTACGTTAATAGTAAATTGCATGTGGCGCCCACAGCGGGAACGGGGACCGTCCGATAATTCCCGAACCACATATGATATTCATCTTGGTCTAGATGACATCTATATGGAGGTGGATATTTTGATTGGGCAATGGGAAGGGCATGGAGTTGACCGGTGGGTCAAACGAGGCCCAATTACCGGTATTGATAATTTAGCGGATAACAACCCGAAATGAGTTTCGGAGACTCCTAAATTAATGTTGGGGAATGTACATCTATTCTAAAGGCCCATAATTATTAGGAACACGTGATATATTTTATCCGGCCCGATAAAATAAAATATAACTAAAATAGTCTGAAAAATACAACTTTCGGGCCAATTATACACACTGGGACATAATGGGATGACCTCCCACATAAGTGGGGGCCACTCCACGTTTTATTTGCTCTGAGTTGACAAAGGAGAGTTGGAGGGACAACAGAATATGGGGTGGGGCGGACTCACACATGGAAGAGTGATTGGAGACAACTCACACCCCCTCATGGCTATTCATTCATTAACTCCTCAATTTGATTGAGAAAGAGGCACCCCCTCCTCCATTTTGAACCATCCGAATCAACTAAGGGAGAAGAGCTCCAGGAGAAATCCCTCACAAAGATTTAACGTGGAGGAATCGAGAAGAAGAGAAAACTCAACAAGAAAAGGTTGGAAGAAGAGGTAAGAATACAACTTCTACTCTTTTAACTAGTTTTATTGTGTATGATTTTTAAGAAATCATATGGTGGATTAAACCATGAGTTCTACACGTTTAAAAGTGTAGAACATTGATATAAAGTGGTGGTAATTAACTTAGAAGGGTTGGCAAATCGATAGGAGTCGAAATCGCCGGAAACCACCACTCCAAAGGAGTTGTTCGTAGTTGCAGACTACGAAAGCCGCCCGGCTTTCGTAAAAGCCGCCCGGCTTTTGCCCAGCAGTCCAGTTTTCCACTTTCAATCGTCCTAGAACGGGGATTGATCGAGGAGCTTAACAAAGGCAACTATTTCAGCACTTCATAAGGTGAGGATGACTGACTATATTGCTTATAATTATTGGGTTAATTTCATAAGATTACCTAAGGTATCAGAAGTGATTTTCATGGATTATTAATGAGTAATAATGCTTAAATGAAAATACTATTGATATGAGTAAAAGGAGCATGATATACAAATTTAGAATAAATTGTGCATGATTATGTGGCATGAAAGGAATGACATGATAATGGAATTAACTATGTAAATATTGTGATAAAATATACTTTTACTTCATGTATGAAATACATGAATGGATAAAAGTGATATTTTTTATATTGGGATCAAATTATATTTGGATTGGAAAATGAATTGAAAAGAAATGTCAATTTGAATTAAGAACTTGATATGTTCTAAGACTAACCTACTAGTATAAAAATACTAGTCGGGAGAGTAATATAATGGAATTAATCCTAAGGGATAGGATGGGGAATAGACTTGTCTTAAGTAGTCTTAAGAGATACTTTAAGGTTGAATTGTATGAACACTAAGGTGTATTAGGGGTAAGTCTAAAGGCTACCTAAGTGGGCTGATTCTAGGCATAGGATTTGCTTGAGATTTGGACTATGAAAGTGAATTAGAGTTTGACTCTAGGATTGCATGGAAATGTAGTTGGGCCGAGCCCTTGCCATGTAATGTGATTAGCATGGAAACGTAGTTGGGCCGAGCCCTTGCCATGTATTTGTGATCTTCGTGGAAACGTAGTTGGGTCGAGCCCTTGTCACGAAGTTGTGGTTGGTATGGAAACGTAGTTGGGCTGAGCCCTTGCCATATAATTTTGATGTGTTAAATTGAGTTGAAGGGTTGTATAGAAATGTAGTTGGGCCGAGCCCTTGCTATATAATCGGGACTCAAGGGAACCCTATGGGGTTGTCGTGACTTGTAGTCACGGGGAATTAAGATGGTGAACGCTAAATGAATATGAACCCACGGGCCGACTACTTGACTTTATATAAAGTAAATATGTTATTTGTAAAAGGGGTAACCGAGAGTTATGACCTATATTATAATATCATCCTAGATTGAGGGTCTTAGAAATTGAAACATTGATTATACTTGGTATAGTTGTCATTGTACTTGTCAAATGCTTCCAAGTACTGACCTCCCCTTCACGGGGGAGGCCACCTCACAGTTTCAGGTAGGAGCTGAGCTTTCTACCAGGGCCCGTGGATTCGGGAAGGTCTAGGAGAGAAGACGTGGTTCGTGCTTCCTCCGTCTCTGTTTCAAAAACGATTATAATAATATTCACGGATATTATTTTCTAAACAATTATTTGGGGGCTTGCATGCCTAAGGATGCCAGGTGTGGCTTGGATACTTGTATTAATGTTTCCGCTGCTTTAATGATGTTTTTACATTATGTTTGTTTATGGATGTACTATGTGTGAATGATATTCCGGACGCCTTGTATAGTATGGATGTGTTGAACTGCGGTTGACTATTCGTACTATACGGCGGGTTGTTGACGTGTCCGGGTAGGTCCGGGGCGTGACAATTTAATTGGTATCAGAGACTTAGTCCGTAAACATCATAATGAAGCTTCAAAATGGTTTTTGAAAATGAAATTGAAAACCATGAGCATAAGAAGTTTTGTACTTATAGAACTTTTGGTACTTGAGTTGCAGTGTCTCTGATTGTTAAGATGGTACCCTTAATAATTGGTATGGCACTGATTTGAGCCAAAAGATGTCTTTAAGTGCCTATCCGTCAATTGACATTTGATACGAGTTTAATGACTCATTCTCAATTTCTTTCAGAAATGGAACGTACTGGGAAAGTAACTAGAAGGAACCCGACTGGCCGAGCACCGGGAGGGTCCGTGCAAGATAGTAGAGGGGCTTCTAGAGTGTCCAGGGGACAAGGTCGTGGGGGCCAAGATCAGACCGTGAGTGACGGTCATGCTGATACAGTGAATGAGTCTTACGAATCCTAGGAGGATTCAACATATCAACCAGGAACTGAGCCGGTTGAGACCCCATACGATGGGGAATATGATGATGACGATGATGAGGAGAGCGACGATGATGATGCTCTAGAAAGGATGGAGGAACTACTCCGTCAATATCAACAGGATCGCCAAAGGCGCCATGCAAGGCATGCTTTGGGAGGGGCTTCAAGAAGAGGAAGCCATGTGAGTTCTAGGGGACATGTAGAGTCCTGAGTTGATCGGGGTGCCGAGGTCCCAATAATAAGGATCTCGAAGTACCTCAAAGAAGCGAGAGATTTGGGGTGCAAGCCGTTCGATGGAACAGGAGATATCTCCGTTGCGGTGGAGTGGATTAAGAGATTCAATGAGGCGACTCTTGATATGCAACTGCCGCCAAACATGAAGATGAGAGTAGCAACGAGGTTGCTAGAAGGGATGACGTCCACGTGGTGGGACGGAGTCAAGGGGAAGTATGGTGAGAATGTCACTTGGGAGAATTTCCGACTGGAATTCTTCAACCAATACTACTCCGACTTCGAGGTGAACTTGAAGAGGAGGGAATACACCAACTTGACCCAAGGAGGCAAGTATACCGTGAGGCAACTTGAGCACAAGTTCAGGGAGCTCGCGGAGTTCATATCGGAGTATGCTTGTGATGAGAACCGGATGGTGAATCACTTTTGGGATGCCTTGGACTTAGACGTGCGTGAGCAGGCAACACAATTGCCTAACATGACGTTTAGTCAAGTGGTGGAGCAAGGCCTGAAAGGAGAAAAGGAATGGGAGGAAAGAAAGCTGAAAAACGCCGAGGAGGCGAAGAAGAGAAAATGGGAGAACACCGGCCCTCAAGGTTCTAGCAAAAAGGGGAACCACGGGGGAGGTGGGTCTTTTAGAACACCCGCATCACCATCACGGGCGAATCAAGGCCCAGGAGGGCAAGGCTCGAGGTCACAAGGCTCGGGCATTATAAGGTGCAATAACTGCAAAAGAAACCACGCGGGGAAGTGTCGTGATCCCCTGAGATGCTATCAATGCGGGGAGGCGGGACACTTGAGGAGCAATTGCCCACAACTGGGGCGAGCCATGGGTGCAGGACCTAGTAGCGGGACTACGGCAAGTAGGAACCGGACAGGAGCACCTCATGGGAGCACAGG